CAACACCAGCACACACCTCACATTATACAATGACAGCAACACACACTCACTAGAGTACAACACCAGCACCACACATACACAGTACAACACCAGCAACACACACTCACTATGAATACAACACCAGTACCACACCCACACTGCATGAACTCACATGAGTACAACACCGCAACACCACTCACTATGAGTACAACACCAGCACCAACCACACTGCCATGAAAATGTCCACCTTAGTAACACCACAGACGCAGTCACACACGTACAACACCAGCTCTAATCAGTCACCACAACGTACAACACCAGCTCTACACAGTACACATACAACACCATGTATACAATCACCACACGTAAACACCAGCACTCACATACCACAATACAACACCATGTCTAACAGTCACCACGTACAACCACCAGCTTACACAGCACACACATACAGTACCAGTCTACACAGTCACCACGTACAATACAGCTCTACCAGCACCAACTACAACACAGCTCACACAGTCACCACACGTAAACACCAGTCTAACAGCACCACACTACAGTACACTCACCATCAACATACAATACCAGTTAACAGTCACCACAGTACCAAACCACTCTACACCAGTACAAAAACACACAGTACAACACAGCCCAACACACTCACATGTAAATACACTCACCAGTCACACTCTACAATACCAGCTCACACAGTCACCATAAGTACAACACCGCTCAACACAGTCACACACTACATACCAGACTACACATCACCAGTACAAAACCAGCTCTAAAACATCACCACACGTGACATACAGCTCTACACAGTCACCACTCGTACATACCAGACTCTACACCAGCTCCACACGTACAACACATGTACACATACATACACGTACAACACCAGCTCTACACAGTCACCATACGTACAATACCAGTCTACACAGTCACCACTCGTCAACCAGCTCAACATCTCACCATGACAACACCACCTACACAGTCACCTCACCTACACACACTCGCACACTCACCACGACAATACACAGCTCATACAGTCACCACACTCAGCACCAGCTTAACACCAGCCACACACCACATAACAGCTATACACAGTCACCACACTACAACTCCAGCACTACAGAGTTCACCAGCAGACAACCCAGATTACACAGCACACACGTACACACATCACCAGTCACCACACACAACTCACTCAGAGAAACAAACACCAGCTCACACATCACCACAGAATAACCACCTAAATCCACACACTCACCAGACACAATCACCAGTACAACACAGCACCACACACTCACCACACGAACAACAACACCAGCACCACTCACTCACATGAGAATAACACCAGTACAAAAACCAGCACCAAACACTCACCATTGGAACAACACCAGCCACCACACACTCACCATGAGAACAACACCTGCACCACACACTCACCATGAGAATAACACCAGTACAACACCGGCACCACACACTCACTATGAGTACAACACCAGCCCCACACACTCACTATGAGTACAACACCAGCACCACACACTCACTTTGAGTACACACCAGCCACCACACACTCACTATGAGTACAACACCAGCACCACACACTCACTATGAGTACAACACCAGCACCACACACTCACTATGAGTACAACACCAGCACCACACACTCACTATGAGTACAACACCAGCACCACACACTCACTATGAGTACAAGACCAGCAACACACACTCACTATGAGTTTCAACACCAGCACACAAATCACTATGAGTACAACACCAGCAACACACACTCACTATGAGTACAACACCAGCACCACACCCACACTGCATGAACTCACTATGAGTACAACACCAGCAACACACACTCACTATGAGTACAACACCAGCACCACACCCACACTGCATGAACAACTGTCCCACTTCTTAGTAAACACCAACACGACGCAGTCACCACACGTACAACACCAGCTCTACTCAGTCACCACACGTACAACACCAGCTCTACACAGTTACCACAAGTACAACACCAGCTCTACACAGTCACCACACGTACAACACCAGCTCTACACAGTTACCACAAGTACAACACCAGCTCTACACAGTCACCACACGTACAACACCAGCTCTACACAGTCACCACACATACAGTACCAGCTCTACACAGTCACCACACGTACAATACCAGCTCTACACAGTCACCACACGTACAACACCAGCTCTACACAGTCACCACACGTACAACACCAGCTCTACACAGTCACCACACATACAGTACCAGCTCTAACACAGTCACCACACGTACAATACCAGCTCTACACAGTCACCACACGTACAATACCAGCTCTACACAGTCACCACACGTACAACACCAGCTCTACACAGTCACCACACGTACAATACCAGCTCTACACAGTCACCACTCGTACAATACCAGCTCTACACAGTCTCCACACGTACAACACCAGCTCTACACAGTCACCTCACCTACAACACCAGCTCTGCACAGTCACCACACGTACAATACCAGCTCTATACAGTCACCACACGTACAGCACCAGCTCTACACAGTCACCACACGCACAATACCAGCTCTACACAGTCACCACACGTACAACTCCAGCTCTACAGAGTCACCACACGTACAACACCAGATCTACACAGTCACGACACGTACAACACCAGCTCTACACAGTCACCACACGTACAACTCCAGCTCTACAGAGTCACCACACGTACAACACCAGCTCTACACAGTCACCACACCTACAACTACCAGCTCTACAGAGTCACCACAGTACAACACCAGATCTACACAGTCACCACACGTACAACACCAGATCTACACAGTCACCACACGTACAACACCAGCTCTACACAGTCACCACACGTACAACTCCAGCTCTACAGAGTCACCACACGTACAACACCAGATCACACAGTCACGAAAGTACAATCACCAGCTCTACAAGTCACCACACGTACAACTCCCAGTCTCAGAGTCAACCATACAGTTTACACACACACAGCTTACACAGTCACCACACGTACAAACTCCAGCTCTACCCGATCACCACACGTACAACACCAGCATCTACACAGTCACCACACGTACACACCAGCTCTACACAGTCACCACACGACAACTCCAGCTCTACAGATCACCACACGTACAACACCAGCTCTACACAGTCACCACACGTACAATACTAGCTCAACACAGTCACCAAGAGTACATCACCAGCTCTACAGAGTCACCAAACGTACATCACCAGCTCTTCACAGTCATCACGATTACAACACCAGCTCTACACAGTTCATACACGTACATCACCAGCTTACACAGTCCCACAGAACAGAACAGTCTACACGTCACCACACGTTACAAACACAGACACAATCAGTCACTTCACGTTAAACACAGCATGTAACAGTACACGAGAACTACACAGCTCTACCACATTACACAAGAAAGTACAGTTACTAACTCAGTTGCACAACAGTTTACAACACCAGCTCTTGACAGGACCACAGTATCATCAGAGGGATCTCCGTACCAACGACTATCACAGCTCTCACGTCACCACACGTTTCAAACCCAGCTTACACTAGTCCATCCACGTACATCACCAGCTCTACACACTCGCCACTAGAAAGAAAATTACTTCACACACTCATTACTCATTAACAAGAAAAATTAAGATTCACGTGATAAACCTCAAGCATGGTAACAATAACGTAGGAAACTACAATGGGAAATTTTCTGACTCATAGCTTAAAAAAATGGTAAGTGTACTGAACGTCGTTGTGCAAGAAAGTCTGCTGCAACTAACCCATCTCTTTGGGAAGGACCTACTTCCACTGGGGAATCCCGCCTACCAGTGACTATGCCCTTGTCTACTGCACGTCCTTATCCACTGACGCCTATATAAACGCCGGTCTTGTTGCCTTTGCTCCAGATTCTCCTCCACCACGATGCTGTGAACACTAACTCCAAGGCTGAGGGACTGATTACCTCATCTTTTGTATATAGTTCTACTGTCTTCCAATTATGTCCTAGAATCTGTATTGATAAAGCCACTGGATGGCGAAACGTCTACAATGAAGTTATCCAGATGTTACACATGTGTCTTAACTTTCATATTGAACGTCGTTAAATGAGCCAGAATAGGTTTTAAATTTAGCTTAACTAACCCTTCTTAGAAGTGAACATTCTGTGTTAAATGTTTAAAAATTAATAGATACTACTTGACAAGAGAGAAGAGTAATATGAAACAATTGAAGATCCAACAAAAGAAGAGGAGAATACTGGTGGGTTACGTTTTACAGTGAGTCGCTTTACTGTATTTTATTATTCAATAATGGTATACAATACCGACATGTGCAACATCTGGGTATATTTATTGTAGACGTTTCGCCATCCAGTGGCTTTATCAATACAAATTCCAGGACATAACTTGAAGACAGTGGAACTATGTGCAGAAGATGAGGTAATCAGTCCCTCAACCTAGGAGTAGGTGGGAAGAGCACCGTAGTCGTGGAGATTCTGAAGCAGAAGCAAGGCGCCTGGTGCTTATATACTAACGTCAGGTGGAAATGGGACGGGTAGCAGACGAGGGCATAGTCACTGGTAGGCGGGATTCCCCAGTGGAAGTAGGTCCTTCCCAAAGAGATGGGTTAGTTGTAGTAATAGTTGTCGCAGTCGTGAAGGTTATGTACATGTCCTTAGAATCAAGATTCCGTGATTCCATGTAATTTCTTCTTCTCACTCGCCACATGTACAAAATCACCAGAGATATATAAAACTAGCTCTATTCACTGAACATGAGTACAATACCAGCACCGTACATTAATCACAAGCTGCACACAGTCTCCATAAATACAGTAAACACATGTATAACACCAGCTACATACGCTCACTACAAGTACAAAACTAATGTCACATACCAAAAGTTCAGCTAACACCAGCCTAATACGCAACTTACATAATGATTAGAGATACACACACTAACCATTAGTGCAGATAACTCCAGGTCGACAACCATGGATGCAAGTGCCCGAGAAACGATTGCACTCTTGATTCAAACACCAGCTGCACGTCTCACTGCAGTGCGCACCAAATGTTCCACTTGGGCATTCTGTAACACAACATAATTAATGGATACTTCATGTTCCACCTAAACGCTAGAACAAAAGTTAATTATTGTGCAGCAAGCGTTTCACTGGAAAACTCTGCAAAACAAGAAAATCAGTGGATATCACGTTACACCTGGGTACAACGACACAAGTAAATTATTGGGTAGAAAGTGTGTCACTTGGGTTCTCTGATGCACAAGATATTCATTGGGTACTAAATGTTCCGCTTGTGTATTCTGCAACATTAAATAAACAGTAGGGATAACCAGCTAGATTCTGCAAGGCATTTATGAGGCTAGACTTATGAGGTCGCATCAGTCCTTACACACACACATACATATGGTTGTCTCGAATATATATATATATATATATATATATATATATATATATATATATATATATATATATATATATATATATATATATATATATATATATATATATATATATATATATATATATATATATATATGCAATAAGATCACAGTAAACAGGTGATTTCGGAATATGCAAAACAACCACTCTGAAAAAATAGAGAAATTCCAATCGCTTTCGTGACAACTCACATTATCATATATATATATATATATATATATATATATATATATATATATATATATATATATATATATATATATATATATATATATATATATATATATATATATATATATATATATATATATATATATATATATATATATATGCAAACACTCGCAGACAGGCGATCTTAGCTATGTAAGATCATCAGGAGCTATGCAATGTTGCAAGGCAACAACTTAAGGAGTGAAGGAAAGTTTTCTCAGAGTAGTGCAGTGCGGGTTTGTCACCTGCCATAATCTCTCTCAGAATGTGAGCCAACGGTTTTGAGCCTCCCAGTACCACCACCATCCCCATCTCCTCCATATGGGGAAGTAAGGTTTTGAGATGTCAGGGATTATGAAATTAGAGATATAATAGCCAGCCCCAAGCTTTTTCTAGCTGCTGAGAACAAATAATGTGACTTGAGAAAATTAATTTCTCAGTGAATACTATACATATGGATTGCTATTATTCTGGGTAACTTTTTTAATTAATAAAGAAAGGAAATGAATGTGCTCTTTTGTCTGGTATGGATTACTCGAACATCAAACATCAAACCTCCTTTCTCCGCTACAGCTCGGACCTACCTTGAAGTGGAGTGCGCAGATGACTTAAACAATGCTACAAAGGAAGGTTTTCTCCAAGCCAGAATACTAGGCACAGCACTCCGGGGCAACATGAACAGACGCACCGCCGAAATCATTCGCAGCAGAGTTACCACAGCGAATGTTCAACAGAAGATCAGACTTACTAGGAAACTACAAACTCTCTGCGATAATAATCATTGGAAAAGTTTAGGAAGACCTGAAATTATTCAAAATCTTTCATCTCGTTCACTGTCAACCACAGAAACTGAAGCTCTCAGCTTAGGCCTCAAATTCTCAACAGGAATTACGGAACCAAAACAAGACCTCAATTTCATCGCCTAAAAGTACCGACACAATGACTCCGACTTCCAAAAAGGTTATCTTAAAGGCATCATCTCAGCGGCCATCTCAACACGCAGCTCCCCAGTCATATCTCAACGTTACATAATTGCACTTAATTAAAGCTTTAGCAGAAGGCACGACCATCAGGGTCACCACCGCTGATGAAGGAGGTGGTGTTGTTATCATGAACACTGACGATTACAGGAACAAAATGCTCAATCTACTTAATGACACAGATACCTACAAACCTCTCACAACTAACCAATGGACAACCTTACTAAAACATTTCTTCAAAGGACTCGCCGCATTCTGAGGGGCTCAGAACAAGGGAAGAAACTTCTGCACACCATACCCAGCAACCCCAGACTTGCCAGAATGTACGTCCTGCCAAAAACTCACAAGCCTGGTATCCCATTGAGGCCCATATCTTCGGAAATAGGCAGTGCTCCCCACCAACTCTCAGGAATTCTTGCAAAACACCTCTCTAAACTCTTGGGCACTATCAGTCCGGCACATCTCAAACACTCGGGTGATCTTCTCAATCGCATTCGCAACATCAACATCAGGAACAAGAAACTTTCCAGCCTTGACGTAACTTCCCTATTCACCAAAGTACCTACTATACAAGCCATCGATCTCTTGGCAGGAAAATTGACGATTCACTTTTCTTCCTATTCCAGCCAGCGATTTCATCGACCTTGTTGAACTATGTGTTGGCTTTACGTGTTTCTCTTTCGAAAAGCACCTCTTTCAGCAGACTTTTGGACTACCCATGGGTTCGCCACTCAGTGCGGTCCTGGCGAACCTATACATGGAACATCTAGAAGCCAAACGTTTCACCACCATTATTCCTTCGTCTTTCACCTGGCTCCGTTATGTTGACGACATTCTCCTCATAACTCCTAAACGCTTCAACGTTCAAGCTCTCCAAGACAAGCTCAACCAGGTCGAGCCTTCAATCCAGTTCACACTTGAAGAAGAAGTCGACAACACTCTTCCTTTCCTTGATGTTCTGCTCTGCAAAGCTGACCACGAACTTCGTTTTAAAGTCTATCGAAAACCTACCAACCAAAACGATCTTCTCCACTTCTACTCTCACCACGACACCAAAACTAAACGTGGTGTAATTATAGGCTTCTTCCTGCGTGCACTCAGAATCTGCAGCAATGAGTTTCTTGAAGAAGAATGCACGATAATTGAACAAGTATTTTCTAAACTCCACTATCCTCGTCACTTCATCAGAAACTGCAGACGACGGGCATTAAACATCTTCAACACACCCAGAGAAGACACTGCCGAGAAGAGATACATAGTCCTCCCCACCAACTCCATTGCCAAACACGTTTCCAACATCTTTTCCAATACCTCATTCCAAGTATCTACCTCCACAACCACAACCATCAAGGACATTACCAGTGATAGACAGGACAAGCTTCCACCCTCTGCAGGGGTATACATAATCCCTTGTAATGACTGCAACAAATTATACGTGGGCGAAACATCAAGGGACCTTCAAACACGTATTTCAGAACACCAATACGCAAGCAGGTCTGACGACACAAGGAATGCCTGTGTACAACACCGTAATTCACACAACCACTTGATAAACTACAGAAACTCAAGACTTATCGCCACAGAAGACAACACTCAATACCGAAGAATCCTGGAATCATCACTTATTTCTATATCCGACAACTTCAACCAGAATAGTGGCTTCTATAACATAGCTGAACCACTTGCCAAGAAACTTCTTCATCGCTATCCCACATAAGAACACAGGAATGGAAGAACACTGTAGAAGGTCTGCTCACAAACTTATCCAATCTCCTTTCCAAGCTACCCAAGATTTTAGACTATAACCCCACTCGGTGCATCATCAGAAGCAGCATTCTCCACCTGACCTCAGCATTCTGAACCTGACTATAAATACTCGTGTCCCTTCTCTTTGTGACTTGAAAAAGCCCACTGTGTGGGCGAAACGTAGTCAATAAAAGATCACATTATACTGCATATATGTTTATATTTCCATTGTGTCGGTATTTTACACCATTTATTTCCAACTTCAACCAGAACAATGGCTTCTATAACAATGCTAAACCACTTGCCAAGAAACTTCTTCATCGCTATCCCACATAAGAACATAGGAATGGAGGAACACTGCAGAAGGTCTACTCACATACTTATCCAATCTCCCTTCCAAGCTACGCAAGATTTAAGACTCTATAACCCCACTCGGTAGATCATCAGATGCAGCATTCTCCACCTGACCTCAACATTCTGAACCTGACTATAAATACTCGCGTACCTTCCACCCCAGGTAGATCTGTTTGTGACTTGAAAAAGCTCACTGTGTGGGCGAAACGTTTGTATTTCCTTTGTGTCGGTATTTTATACCATTTAGTTCCATGGATTACACGAATGTTCCCAGGAGTACTCAGAAGTACCTCTTCATATTTTCCTAAATATTGTCTACTAGCCTTCTCAGTGTCGATTAATATGCCTTACTTGGGAATCTTCTTTACCATTCCAATAATATTTCTATGATCCAAATTACTACATCTAATATCTTTTAACCCCACTACCTATGTCATCACGTATTTTTGTGCACCTGTGAATGTATGGTGGTGCGGGGCGGCACAAAACAGTTGGTTCATATTCCGAGAGAGACTGCCTTGCAACATTGCATAGCTCCTGATGACCGACTGAGAAGTGTGAAAGTACTTGAGATAAAGATTTCCATCCCCCGTGGCGTGTCTTTCGTATACAGTGCAACCCCAGATTTAGTACTTAATGCTTTCCAGACGGTCATTCTAAATCGGAAGCGTGTGAAAACTGAAGTAATATTTCCCATAAGAAATAATGTAAATCCAATTAATCTGTTCCAGACACCCAAAAATATTCACAAAAATAATTATTTTTTAAAGAATTACTCTAGTTTTACGTACAGAAAACAATGAGAAATAAATATAAAGCACTAATTTTAATGATAAATGAACATTACATACCTTCATTAAAGACTCATGTTGGCGTATTCAAGAAGGCGATGAGAGGAGAGAGAGTTGAGGTTATTGTTTGGAAGGGGATTGCCCCTCCATAAGGACTTCAGGTATCAAAGTCCTCTCTGGGGTTATTTCCCTTCTTTGTCTTTTACTCGCACTGGACCCTTATCACACTAAAAATCTGTCCAGAGAGCTCTGTTTCTGGGGTCTCTTTAAGATTTGCCTAAAATGGGACAAGGTATTGCCACTGAACATGCTGCAGATACGACTTGTATCACTTTGGTCAGGGTGATATTTTTCAACAAAAGTTTGCACCTCATTCCACTTTCCACATATGTTCTTAATCACTGAAAAAGGCACCTTCTCTCCTCTTTCTTCCTCCTACTCCTCTGAAGCAATTTCCTCAGCTGTAATCTGTTGCTGTTCCAGTTAAAGGTTTTTCAGCTCTTCAGAGGTTAGCTCTTCACTGTGGTCCACCACCAACTCTGTTTC